GGACCAACTGAGCACACACTGGACGGCCACAACCCAACGGATATTGTCAAAAGTATCACACACCTACTGGAGCCTCTCGATAGCAGAAGAATACCGATGTTTGCAATCTTATATCCAATTGCACTCTCACAGGAGCAGCGTGAAATGTTTCATAAAGCCCACGAATTCACCCACGACCATTGTACAACATTCTTGAAGGAGTCTCGATTCAGTGATAAACAGAGTATAGATGTCGCGGGTTGTCTATTTTTGGACCTGACGCCTATGCAAGTGGCCGCAAAGTGGGTACGTGGAAGATTAGTTAATGGACGGTGGCAGCTTGGGAAAAATGATACTACCACATTGACTGTCTTAGGTAGCGTTGACGAACTTTCGCTGGAAGAAGTGATCGAGAAGCTCATTCTTCCAACCGTGTCAAGCTTGGCTGCTGTCCGGGGGGTGGCCATTCTCAAACCAGAGAATGCATTTCCCAATGTTAAAACATGGGATTTAAACCATTACTTTCTCGACATTCCAGTGAAATGGTTATCGACTGCCGACATTTCTTATGGAGCGGCTTGTATACTCGAGAACGACTTCCCGTATAGTATTTGTGACTTCTCGCCCGGGGAGGGAGAGCTCGTTGAAGATGCTCTGGACATACAACTCGCGGATGGACAACTTATTACTCTCCTCCCGATGTCTTCTCCTCTTCCAGCCACTGAGCTATTCTATTTTACAACTTCGAAAGACAACCAGACGACCGCCACCCTATTATTTAGCAAGAAAGGTACATCCTGCGGAGTAGCCATCCTTGAATTGACTCCCAAAGTGAGAGGCGCAGCACGGATCAAAGTTGTGATTCAATGCGATTCGTTTGAACGCACGAAGGTGACGACCCAAGAGCTTGGTTCCTCGGACAAGGTGATATTAGTACTAGACGATGTAGTACTGAAGGACGCCAGAATTCGTGGGTTGCTACCTACAATATCTGCGGAATCGAAGTTTCCAGTACCTGGCGTTGATGGGGTTATCGGAGAACTTCCGGAATAGCTCTTATTTCAAGTCGTTCCAATGAAATGTAAAGCTAAAGATTAGAATGGTTGTATTCAAATCAATCTAATTCCACTTCTTGACCAAAAGCTTGTGCTGTAATCCATTTATGTTACAAATAAGGTGCTAAGTACATTATCAACGTCTACGCACCGATCCACTTGACTTACTTGGCGCCAGTTTGGATGCCAAAGAAGTAGAAGGCTGCTCATGCGCTTGATTGACCAAAGTGGTCATGGTGAACCAATCATCGATGATCATCGACGAGGAAATTGTACATTCCCGTGGTATGAGCTTGAGAGCCTGGGGTGATAGATCAGATGAATAGATAAAAAAAGAAAGTGCTTTGAGACTTACAACCTCATCCTTATATTCGCGAAGAGACGGATAGAGACGGACTTCAACCTCGTCCTCAAACACACTCTGAAGTCGCTTCTGTACGAACTGTATCGGGTACTTTATGCTATAATAGCCGATAATAGTCAACCTTCTGAGGCTAGTCGAGAAGGATGGGGTCGTATCGGTGGGTATGCTGGGGTTTGGAAAAAGCTTCAACCAACTGTCGAGATCGCGATCCCAATAATAGTACCCAGCGTCAATACCAAGGTGAACAAGGTTCTTCATCCTTGAGATCAGGGACACCGGTATAATGAACTGTCGCCCACCGAATGAAAAGTTAGCCCTGAGCCACATCAGTTCTTTTACACCTGCAAGGGCGGTATGTGCGGGGATATCGTGACCGAGGTCGAGAATTTCCGTGGAGAGGAGCCCATTTCTCCTTGGTAAAGGAAGCATGGTAGGGTGATAGTCAACACGAGTAGTGGAGAACACTCGAAGCGTGCTCCTCGAGTTTCGTATGTACCAGTTGATACCGTTTGGCACATAGTGATCTCCATTCCAGCTGATGTCGCCATGGAATCTAAATTCTACAAATTGATGTACGGGAGGTGAGGACTTCCGACAGCGTATCCTGAGCCCTTTGCCGAGAACAAAGTGACGCAATCGCCAATGGGGGACTTGAACGAGCAGTTGAAAATCAATGTCGGTAGGCTGTTCAGTCACGTCCCTGCTCCCATTAGATAATATAGGGATATGCCCAGTCAGCATGAGTGCCTGTATTCTGGGGGTATCCTTCAAGGCAGACATAACATGGAAATTCAGAAGTGACACTGAGTTGACATCTAAACGCAGCTCGTAGAGAGAAGGGAAGTTGCACATAGATACTGGAATGTCTGCTGGCGATAAATTGCCCAGTCTTTCCAGCCCATCGACCCAGAGCCTCAATGAACGGACACACCCTCGGAGGAAGCGTCCCTGTGAGGTATGTTTTGGGAGTACATGTTGTAATGTCTTCAGTTTATGATGCGTTCGGATGTCGACTTCGGTGAAAAGGATACGCTGGGCAGGTCGGCGCCATACTCTTCCGATCTGAGAGCAGCTGGAGAGTCGCTTCTTCAAGTATTTTCGGCGTTGAGAGGGTTCTTCTGTATAATTTTGGCTGTCTAAGACGACGTATCGGAGTATGAGTTCGACTATGTCCTGGACAAGAGGACATCCTAGCTTGCGAAGTGTTTTCTGGCGTTGCATCATATAACCGTCATGCTATAAATAGCAGAATGGAAGTTATGATTTATTTTCCTTTACAGCCTAGATGGTGCCATGATAGGAGTAGGCTATCGAGGTTGGGTCGAAGTTTGGCCCACATCATTATTATAATATAATACCGCCAGCGGAACCGTGATTAAATAAACTATTGGTTGATGATAAAAACATCTTCAAATAGTTATGGTTTCGTAATCAATAGAGCGCATAAATGGGTTTATGAATGCAATTGTGTTATTATGAACAAACAAACCTCCCCAAA